CTCACAACTACTGACTAGAAAAGTCTCCAAGAAGTTTACTGACTTCCAAAAAGACTTCCAAAAAGACAAGTGTCTTATTTTTTCCCCCTGTGACAACCAGCTCTTGAAAACCTTCTTCTGCTCCAAACGTTTTTGTTGCTGTTACATAAAGTACACTTCAAGACCTTGTTGCTTTGAGCCCCCAGATTCAGATTTCACTAGCTGACAATCATGTCACTTCAAGTGTTGCTATTTTTTGAGGAAAAAAAAGCAACAAAAGTGAAAATTTTGGCTGGAAAATTGACATGTTCTGAGAAAAATTCTGTTCTGWCAGAAAAGAGGAAAAAAAGAGTATTTTTGACAGAGAATTACTTTCGACAGCAAGCTATTGACCGGGTCTAACAAGCAGGTTGGGACCCGTTACAGGAGGAGCACAGGTTTCCTTATCCATCCTGCAGGCCGCCTTTCAGAACGCTGTGGAGCCAGGTCTGCCTCTGTGCATGTGAAGAGCCCACCTGCTTTCCGGGCAGAGCACCGAGAGCCACGCACGTCCTCCCGCCGGGGTCACGCTCTCGTGCCGCGGTTCCAGCACGGGGACGGCTCGGTGTCCATGCCCGCTGCCACGCTCGGAAACGGCTGCTTCCTCCCCCAGGCATCCCAAGCTCATCCTTTAATTGCATTAAGGGAAGGTTTCTGCTGAGCCCAGCCCAATGCTGGACACAAGGCAGTGCAGGACCATCGCTGGGGAAGACCCAGGGACATGTCCTGGCTCCGTCTCTGTCCGCCTGCCATGGTGGCCAGCTCCAACATGATGCCGTGCCTCTGTTTCCCTGGCTTGACACCATATTYCCTACTCTCCCAAGGAGCAGTGATACATCTCCCAGCTATTTTTGCTTATTTTGACCACATAAAAAGCAGAACTCAAACCATAACCAGCTGATTCAGGGCAACAAGTCTCACTAGAGCGAATTTTGGTAGTTGAAGGTCCAGACACAGATTGCTGGGAAGGGAGGGTGAAACTCCTTCCCTTTCTGCACTGCCACCACGGATTTAAACACAGCTTTTCCCCTCTGCTGCTGCTCTGTGTCAGACCGTGGCTGCTGCATTTAGAACTTGGTCACTTTTCTGTATACACCTCTTTCCTGTCAGTTCAAGGGCTCTTGCTCCCTTGGGCTGTCATTAATCGGTTGTGATCAGAGGTCTGTTATAACCCTTTCACAGCAGCCTCTTGACTTCACTCTCACCCTCTGGGATGCACTTGGGGACAGAGCAAGAAGCATGTTGAAATATGACTTTTTTTTTCCCCTCTCTCCCCTCTTACTGTAAAGCCCTCACTGTCATCAGAGCAAGGAGCCGTTTACACTCACAACACTGAGCCAGGAAATCAGGGCACATTTATTCCAGACTCCGCAACTGATAAGTGACCTTGGGCAAACTGTTAAATTTCTCTGTGCCTTAGTTTTCTGGGACACAACTAAAAAAGAAAAGAAAATAAGAGAAAAAAAATAAAGGAGACAGATACAAAGAGAAAGGGATTGTAATTCTAATAGGAGTATTGTCTCCAAATGAGACCTTGAGATGGAAAGGTGGCTGTGATGCTACCAGTGGTGGCAAAAGTTCTCTCCTGTCCTCTCAAGCTACAGGAAGGGAATATACAGGTTAAACATGCAGGTTAAACCCARAATCCAGGCTGATCAAAGCTCACCAGCCTTTGACCAAGCTGGTAGGTCTGCATTACAAAGGCTCTTCACAAATAAGGAGCTGAAAAATGTGGAWTTTTTTTTTCTTTTTTGGAATTGAGCTCCATCTAATGCACTTCTAAAAGGAGAACAATTTTAAAACAGAATTATCACAAGGAAAAGACCTTAGAGTAGTTAAAGACAGAACCACTACTTTATTTCTGTGTAGATTTTCACCACAGCTGAGAACCCGAGCCATCATCGTCCAGGATCCAAGAAGTTTTCTGCGGGAAGCTTTCTAGAAGAACACGGAAGAGGACAACCAAGTTTGCCCCACGCACAGACAAAACCAACTGTTATTTTCACAGTTGTAACCTACTTCTCCTGAAATGCAAATCCAGCTTCTTAGCTGGGCACTGTGGACAACAGCAGCTCCCAACTCAGCACAGAGAGGCAGCCCAGCACGGAGGGGACAACCACCACCCACCAGTCAGGAGTCCTGTGCCCCATCCTGCAGCTGTCCCACATGAGACCCTGGTTGCTGCCTGGCCACTTCATTCAYTACCCCATGCAGAGCAACTCCACAGAGGCAGACCACGTTCTCCCTCCCCAGGAAGGCACACAATGAGACATTCAGCTAGATGCTACTGCTTATAAAGGGGTACGCCCTTATAAAGGGGTAGATCATTTGGCAGATTATTCCCAGAAAAGATAAGGGAAACRATAAGGACATTGGCTCTTTTAACTGACCTTGGCAAATTGATGGGAGGTGGATTCCACTCAACCCCATAAAATTAAGACCTACAGATCAATCTTTCTTCATCTATTTTCCAGTGATTGCATGGCAGGCAAAAGTATGCACAGTGATGATGAGGTGTATCCAGTCTTCTGCTAGCAGGAGACAGGTTTCCACTGAATACCAGGGCTTTAAGAAGCCCATAAAGGCAAGCTTCCAGTCTAGTGTGAAAGAGATCCTTTTACATCTTGTTACACAGATGGGTAAATCACTCCGTGCTAAATCAGTTCTTCTCTCTAATGAACTAGATAAGGTTGGTTATGAGGACCCAGCAGAGACACCTAGATAGGAAAGGATGGAGAAAAGAAGGGAGCACTGAGACATTTGGTGAGGCCATGCATTACACCAGGCTGCTGACCCCCCATATCCTTCATGATGCCTGAGGGTTTCTCCCAGCCCTGGAAGATGGCCAAGGCCTGCCAGGCTGCAGTCAGGTCACAGCATAAAGCTGCAGGAAGAGAGTCCTCTTCTGAGGTGCTGTGATAAGGGATGGTTAATGCAGCTGGTCACCATGTGGCACCCACCAACATGTTCTGCTACCCAGCCAGATTCTTAGAAGGTGAAAACAGGAAGGTGTTAGCCCAAATCCATGGAGAATTTGGTCCTCATTGGAAGCTTTTCTGCTCTTSAAGGTTTAAAATTGCACCCCTGAGAAGGCAACAATGCACTGTGAGACGAGTCAAATAGCAGTAGGTACTACTAGGCCCTCAATGCTCACAATGGCATTGACAGGATACATGGAAAACTAGGTTCTGAGACACATTTAAAAGTGCTCTAAATCTATTTTATCTGGATGCTGGAGCATGGAAGCTGATTTAATACAGCATGGAAATATCATAGACTTGGGCTAAGCACAAATGTGAGGAGTTCAAAAGTAAATTTGTATCAGGGATCCCAAAACACAGTGTCAAAGCCTCAGAAGAAGATCAAGGGGAATAAAAGTTAATCCTGTAARTAAATTCATTTATGGGGCACTGGTGGCTGGGAAGTTTGGAGGAAGGGGGAGAGAGAGACTCAAACCCCAGATCATTATGTCATTAGGTCTTCCTACTAGCACAGCTGCCTCACAGAGACATACTCCCAGCTGCTTGAGTTGGAGGCTACAGGTTATAGAGGTGAAAACTTTCTGGTTATGGCTCTCCTCGGTTCTCCCTCCTGAGCAGGACWCCTTTGCACAAACAGCAAAGGCTGTGGCATACTTTTTCCAGGAGGCACCCAAGAATTCATCCATCCATACACATGTTAGAACTGGTCAAAGTCAGCATCAGCTGTACTTCCCCAGAAGAAAATAAGGTGGTTTGGCAAAAATGAGGATTTTTATAACATGAACTTTCTGGGAAGCATATGACTTGGATTCCTTGGGAAATCTTTGCTAGAGTTAACTCCTCTTGAGCAGACTGTGTCAGTGGACAGGGGCCACTAGGAAGTGAAAGAGCAGACCTGCAAGGATCACGTCCCCTGGCATCAAGAATTTGGGCTTTCTAACAAGGTGCTGTGCTGGTCACACTCACTCCATTCATGTTTCTGGTGTGGAGACAGGATCCTAGAAAGAAGTGAATTTGTTCCTCTTAGAGAGCAGAAACCAGGAAATCTGGGCAGATGGCAAACCTTTGTACACAAACAGCTAAATGTTTCCTCTACACCCAGCTGTGCCAGGACAAATCACTTCATCATCTTCAATCTGAAACAGCCCTGTATGGTCACAAAAACTCCTTCATGGTCCAGCCTCCACATCCTGAAAAACAGCCCCAGATCTCTCAAAGCAGATTCCTGATTCTGGAGGAGAGTTTCAACCTCAAAGCAGCATGTTTGGGATCAGCTCTCTCACAGTACCACTATCTGCAGTTGCTTGGCCACCTGTAAGTTAGGTGACACTCTATGTCAGAGCTCAGTTTTAAGGAGCCAGGTTTGAACACTTTGGTCCCTGGAGTCTAGCCTAAGCTGTCACTGAAGTGAGGGGGTAGGAGAAATGTACTGTCAGAAAATGTAATCTCTGAAAAGTGCAGAAATCCAACTGTGGGAGGATTTACAGGGGTTCAAAACTAAGGGACGCCAGGAAAGACAGCTAAATAAACACATAGATCATGCGTCTTGAAAGCTGATGTCAAGATCATAAAAAATCAACTTGATTATAGGAGCAGACAGGTGGTGATTGGTGCAACCCCTACATATTGTGTCCTGGAGCCTTCGGCTGGCCCTGTCCACCGGAAAGAGCACCCAGCAGATGTTTTCCTGATTATAAAAGCTGTATAAATTATAATCAACAGCCTCCCACTTCAAACAATCTCAGAGCTGTGTCAAGGGGTGGGGAGAGCAAATCCTTCCCATTCATTAACACAACCATCCCCATCCCTCCCAGTGACATAGACAGTAGGCTATCRCCATGGTTTGTTAGGGTCTGGGTGCTCTCAGCAACAAGTACAGTACCTTAGGGGACTGGTTTGATGCCACCCARTACTGCTTTTGAAGCCCGCTCCAGCCTCACCAGGACCATCCATCACAACAGTGCAGAAGAGATGTGCTGGTCACAGGAAGAAGAAACCCACCCAGGGCTGTCTGGGCTCTGTCAAGGGCAATCGCAGACTCTCTTCTTCCCTCTTTCCCTCTTCACAAGTTGACTGAGGCTTGCCAAGAGTCTGTGAGAAGGGAGCAACTGTTGCAGCTCACGTTGTTCAGAGTTTGGAGAGCAGCACCTAAGAATGGAAAACATAGCACTTTAACCCCATTAAGGATAATCAGATAAGAGAGTCCACAAAGGAAAATGTTGAACTATAAAACTGTCCTAAAAACTTCTCAGTTTGGCACAAACACTCCTCTGTGCTTTSCTAGCAAAGGAAATACGCACCTCAAGTGCCTGGTTGCAGTGTCAACAAACACACTTGCTCCTGGCAGGCTGAAGTTGCTGCAGCTCCAGCAGTCCCCGGGATCTGACGTTTCTCAGCAGTTCTCAGTGCCTCTTCTTTCCTAGGCCAACAACATACATCTCAGGATGGAGGTACAGAAAATGTTCTCACACCACCAGTTTACAGGCACCTTGTGTGAACTGAAAGACATGGTCCCCGCTGAACAGAGCTATGGGGGAACATCTCCAACCAGAAGTCCTGACAGGGAGAGACTGCTGCGTAGAGGCGGCTCATCTGGCTTTAGGACAGTGTGTGAGATGGCTGTCTTTGGGTGACACCACTTGGCTCTCAAGCTCCAAAGCGCTAATGGGCCCCAAATGGTAAGTGTAGACTGGACAGATGGGCTTCGCACWGGGGCTCGCTGGCAGCCCAGCACTCTGTGTCCCAGTGGGCAGGAAGCTGCAWGGATGCAGACAGCACATCCTGGCCTTCCTGAAGAGGACGGGACAGGTGTCACAGACTTGCTCTGGGAAAGGCAGCTCGATGCTTCCCAGCACAGTGTTCATCCAGGGGCCAGCCCAGGTGGCCCTGTGCTAGCCCGGGGCAGCCGGGTGCACATGTAGCCCACGCCAGCAGTCTCTGACCCCCCTCTAGTGGCTATAAAACATAGCAAAGTTCACGAACCTGCTACCAAAATGCTCATCTCGCAGCTCTTGGCAGAGCAGGAAGGGTTGGGAGAGGGACATGGTGGGGCAGCAGCCTCACAGCAGGCTGCAGCAGCCCGACACGCCGAGCAGGCCGTGGTGCAGGTGCTGCGTCCAGCTCCGCTCTCTGCAGCGCAGGGAGGAGCAAGGAGGTGCTCAGGGCCACCTTCCTACCTGCTTCC